CTCTCTCTCTCTCTATATATATATATATATATATATGTGTGTGTGTGTGTGTGTGTGTGTGTAGTGTAAATTAACCTATGAACAACATTTATATGTTTTATACGAGTCGTGAACCTCAGTACATTAATGGGATTTATAAACTTAAAAGTCACTATTACACGGTAATGTACTATTTACTATGTGTTAAACCATGTTTTTTGAGAATGAAAAATGCTTGACTTGCTTTACAATTTTTAGCGCAAAGTTAAACAATGACTAGCTGTGCATATAGCTGTCCCTAATTTTGAACTGATAGATCTGAGGTAAGGCAGACAGTTAACAGACACAGCTCTCGAACTAGTCTTGTTTGACCAAATAGTGACCGTCACTCTTATAGCTTACCCACAATTCCAAACGGCAATATGACTCGAATATAACCAATAGGCCACACTCGGTTCCCCCTTCCCCCCCTCAAAAAAAAAGGAAGAATGTACTGAAATACTTGATGTCAGGTAAATCGATCTGATTCGTTGCTAAGGGAAACAACGTTCAAAGAATGCTAATTAACCGAAACAATTACAATCATTCAAACAATGATGCTATAAAATACAAACAGCGAAATCAGTTTACTAATTTTTTTTGCAAGTATATCTATTTACAACTTCATAAAAAAACTAGGTTAAATGTAAGTTCTTTGTATGCAAATAAAGTTTTTTAAGAAGATGAACAAGTTCCTATCATACCCTTTAACACATTTACACATACTTTTCAACACTCATCAATGCGATGAAAATTGTTTTTGTTGCCTCGGCAACCACCGTAAACGAATAGAACGCAAGCTCGTTTGGCCGTGTCGTAATGCCAACGTTTTAGTAAGTCTCGACATGGGCCTGCATCTATCGGCAGGTGACAGATTTCTGAAATAACGGAAATAGATTTAACAAAAAATACTAATTGATATAAGTAAAATCATTAATCTCGACATGTTCAAAATTAACCTAATCATATTTTACTTAAACGTAGACTCACCAGTGAATCGACGTAACGCCACTAAGGTTTATTAAAAAGAGTTGGGCCAGTGTTTTCCAAACTGTAGAGCGCGCCACCTGGCAGGGAGTTGCATACTGGTGGCTGGAGGGACGCGGCGTTTTCGCGGGAAAGCCTAAAAATAACGAAGAAACAGAAGAGTTGGAGGAGTCGCTTCGATCTCTCACCACACCAAAATCGACCTAAACACACAGAAAAATATAATTACAAAAAGCCTGGATATAGCCACTACCAGCCTGGATATAGACAGGTAAGCCTCAGAAAGCCTCGTAAAAACAGCAGACAAATGTATACCAAAATTATCAATCAACAATACCCAAACAAACACTGACATAATTTAAAAAAATAAAGGAACGAAGAAGATTAAAAAGAGATTGTACGACAACCGGTGACCCACAAACAAAAACGCAAATAAATACGCTCAGAAACAAAATTAGAAACGACGTTAAGCTAATAAAATCACAAAAATGGGACA